AAACTCTCTTGAATTTCTACCTCAGCTTGAGTGAGTTGTACTTCAGCTGGATTCAGAGTTCAATCTGGAATACTCAGGTTTAACATGTCATTAATTTTTTCTTGCATTCCCTTGTGTATTTGCTTGAGATGCTTCATATAAATGGTAAGGTCATTGTCCTTCAGTGCCTCTGCGATCATCTTTAGGTATGGAAATTGTAAAAATCCTAACGTCCTATGTTGTGCCAAAAGACTGAGCTTCTTAAGGAAAGAAATGATGGCTTCCTTACTGTGTACAAGGTTGCTGTTTTTGCCCTGTAAGGTCTTGTTTTTAAGTTTGTGAAAAATATACGCCAGATAAAATATGTCTGCCTTAACATGAGCAAGCTTTCTCTGTACTCTTTGTTAGACACAAAGGAAACTTAGATGTAGCAAAACATTGAAGGCAGTTTCCCTTGGAAAGCCACCTCACCTGGGTATGCAGCACAAGCATCTGGGAGTGTTTGTTATATTCTTCACATGGCTGCCAGAAAAGATGATCCTGAAGAATGTGGGTTTTGATTAAGTTTACTGCCTTTGACAACTGAAAGCAAAATATTGAGGCTTATTCCCAAGTTCTTAGATACTAGGTGCTCCCTGGGAATGATGCAATGAATAGTAAAGACATTTACTTTTTTTAAATGGGCAACGAATCCTCTGTATCAGCCAACCATAGATGCAGCACTATCAGTTGCACAAACAATTATATTCTCAATTGGAATACAGTGGGGTCTCGATTACGAACTTAATCCGTATTGGAAGGTGGTTCGCAGGTCGAAAAGTTCGTAGGTCGAATCTGCATTTCCCATAAGAATGTATTGAAAACCATTTAATCCGTATCTGCTCTTTTCCGTCCATAGAAACTAATGGGAAGCTGCTATTCCGCCTTCTGCCACTAGAGGGGGATATTTTTTCTTTTTTCCTTTTAACCTAAGATGCCTTAGATTTTCAAAAAAGAAAAAAGTTCGTAACTCGAATCTAAGTTCGCAAGTCGAGTCCATGTATTTCCTATGAGAGTGGTTCGTAAGTCAAAACGTTCGTATGTAGAACCGTTCGTAAGTCGAGACCCCACTATATTGTTCTCTCTTAAGTAACTTTTGACTTGTTCAAAAATAGACAGTCTCTTAGTCTTAGTTTTAACCCTCCTGGCAAACATCTCTTCCATCAGTTTGTTACTGTTCCTGAATATCACATAAGCTATGAGAACAGCGTTGTTATCTTATAAAGCAATATCAATAACTGTAAAGAATTTCTTGGATTGGACTGAACTGACCAATATCTCTTCATTGTTATGTGCCATCTCATTGATTCTTCTGACAGCAGTAGAGTTACTCAAAGGAATTGGCTGAATTGTTTTTTTGGCACTCAAATTCATGACATCATATATTATTATGGACCCTGAGGACAGGATAAGCGACTGAGCAATGCTGTGAGCATTTCAGGTTTTAGCGATCGGTTTAATAATTTTGTATGATGCAGCAAGACCCGTGTCTAATTTTTGTGATATTTGAGTAAGAATTGTTGTCAGTGTTGGCCTTCTCTCAAAATTCTCTCAAAGGTTTTTGAAGAAACCCAAGGGTTTATCTTTCTTCTGTGGATGCAGGGTATCCAAATTTGCTTCGTCTCATGCTTTCATTTGACAATGTAGTCATGCAGTTCAAACACATAGGCAAAAATGGGTTTTGTCGAGATGCAGTGAAACCGTATGATAAGTATTCCACAGAATAGTGGTACATTTTTCTTTTGCCAATGAACTCATGGGTAGAATTATTTCTGGAATTAATTAAAAAATAGAAAAATAATGAACAAATACGGTATACTGTCTACCTGTGTAGAAGTAAAGAAATAATTTAGGTCTTAAAATTGATCACTGCACTCTTGGCTGGCTACCAATAAAAACAGGCAGGGTACTGCATTCTCAGTTGCTATGGAGGCTGCCAGCAGAACTGCCTGAGCAGGTTAGGCTGCAATCACAGCTGGCTTACGATGAAAATCAAGCAGGGTGCCTGTGTCAGCAATTGCTGGGAGGCAGCAAGCAGAGATGCCTCAGATTGTAATCATGCCTGGCTTCCAATCAAAAACAAGCAGGTGACTGGCTTCCAAAGGGGGGGGGAAGGGTAGTGTGGTGCCCCGCATGACGATGATAATCCATCCCACTGAAATCGCTGTTTGGTGCAATCATCGTCTTGTGAAAACCATTTCCCCATTGGAATGCATTGAAACCCATTTAATGCGTTCCAATGGGGAAAAATCGTTATAATTTTGCGAAGATCGCCCATAGGGCAGCCATTTTGCGAAGCACCGATCAACTGTTAAAATGGCACTCCTGCAAAGCATCGGTCTCGAAAACATAGGGAAGCCATTTTGCGAAGCCGCTGATCAGCAGTAAAAATTGTTATCTTGCGAAAAAACGGTCCGCGAAGCACGGACCAAATCATCATCCAGCAAAAATCGCCCATTGGAATCACTGTTTTGCGAATCGCTATAACAATTGCAAAACCTCATCGTCATGCGGATTTGTCATTTTGTGAGGTCATCATCTAGCGAGGTACCACTGTATAGGCATCAGCAATAACTGGGCAGGTGGCATGCAGGATTGCCTTTTATTCTGTTCTAAGAAAGCCATGAGAACAGCAGGGAATCTGTGCAATGGGCCAGGCTCATGCTGCCTGGGTATTTCATTGATTCAATTACCAGGGCCCACCACAAACTCTTAGGGCTCTCCTTCTCACAGACTTCAGTCAATGGCACCCTTCAGATATGCCAACCCCTCTCCTGGAGGCCCAAGAGCCCCTGTTGTGAATGGCAGTTTTAATGTATGTAGCAGTATGGAATACAGTGGTGCCTCGCTTAGCGATCGCTCCATTTTATGATGAAATCACTTAGTGACACATTTTTTGCAATCGCAAAAGCGATCGCTTTGCGATGTTTCTTATGAGTTTTTTTCGCTTTGCAATGATCGCAAGAAAGCGATCATCGCAAAGCCCCCATTTTCGCACAGCTGATGGGCAGTTTCAAAATGGCCGGCAGGTAAATAAAATGGCCACCCGCTGTTTTTTGGGACGGATTCCTCACTTTAGAGGCATCGAAAATGGCGGCGCTATGGAGGATCTTCACTCTACGGTGAGTTTTAAGCCCATAGGAACGCATTGAAGGAGTTTCAGTGCGTTTCTATGGGCTTTTTAATATCGCATAGCGACGTTTTCATTCTGCAGCGATTTCTGCAGAATGGATTAACGTCGCTATGTGAGGCACCACTGTATCTAAAACTGTAAGTGATACTACTTTCTTTCAAGACCTTACCAAGTCAGAGGTCTTGGTAATAAGATAGAGTTCGGCTTGACTTGCATAGAGATGTAGGTAAGACTAAGAAATCCAGTGATTTTGTTTTGTTTTTGTTGTTTGGTTAGTCAAACAACCAGCTTACCATATTTGCTGAGGCAAAAGATTCAATCTTTTCACATTTGTAGAAACCATTGATAAGAAAGAATAAACAGTAGCTCTCTTGTTGCTCCCTTTCTCCTCCAAGTGAGATGATTTCTATCTTAGCTTCCAACCATCATTAAGCACAGAAAATTTAGAGGAGGAATGGGACTTTTCCTTGAATTGCAGGAAACTTTTGGGAAGGAAATAAATAGCTGGAGAGACGTCTGCTGTTCCTTTCTGTTGCAAAGCTTCCTGAAAGTTAAGCCAGATTCCACCCTTAATTTACTGTCATTTGTTTGTTAGAGGGTTTAAAAGGACAGACAGGTCACCTGTGGAAATCTTTGGCAAAGGAAATACATTAGTATTTCTTCTGTTTCTTTCTTTTCCTAAAGCTTCTGCAAGAGAAAAAAAAGACACTGTCTACTGGACACAGCAACTGTCTAGGTCTATCCAGGCTTCCTGTGGGTGGTCACCCCTGGAGAGGCCCAGGAAACTACCACCAGGAACTGGGCTTTCTCAGTGGTGGCTGCAGTGGTATGGAATGCCCTGCCTGTTGATCTCTAGGCTCCCTTCTGACCTTCAGGAAATGGGTGAAATCTGAATTTTTCAAATAAGCCTTTGGTAATATCTTCCTGTCACACCCCCCACAGTTCCCCTGTTTGTTCTTCTACACATCCAGGTTCCTTTTTGGGCATGACATTTAATGTTCACACTTTTTCGCTGCCACCAGTGAATTTCTTTTACCCACAATGTAAATTATTTCACTCAAACACTGGCTACCAACAATTGAAAGTTTTTATTAAAGTTACAGATGTTCTTTTTTTTATTTACTCAGAATCACAATCATTGAAATGTCTTCTTTTGTTTACTTATTTACCATTTAAACAACTTGTGTATTTACTTGTTACTATTATCACTTCTAACTTTCACTATCTAGCTCTTTCTCTAACTCCTGGTTAACTGACATCCTAACTCTAACTCTTTAACTCATCTCTAACTAAAATCCCTAACTCTAACACAATCCTGGTCTTAACTCTAACTGATTCTTAACTGTCTTCCATTCTCTTCTTATATTCCCTCCTGCTCAACCATTGGTTGCAAAATCAGTGTTCCATTGTGATGGACAGGTGTGGTTCCTGGCCTGTCCGTTACATTTCCTCTTTTCATATTTTTGTAGACCTGTATGTTTTTAATTTGAATTTTGTCTACCATTGCGTCTAGAGGTTTTTCCCCATCTGGTTTTCTTAATTGGGTGTTTGTGTTTGCTGGGTGGGTTATTATTTCTTGTATTGGCCAGAATAGTGCTCTGTCACTACATGAGTAAGACAGGAAAGAAAGAAACATTTGCAGCATTTCATGTTTAGATGTGCAGTTACAGTAACAGTTTATATCTTAATCCATTTTTTTTAAAAAAACAGTGTTGTGTATATTTAGCAATAGTAACCACTCAGAGTGGTGCTTGCTGCAGTATTTCTAATTGCAAAGAGTGGTGTTGCTGAAAGATGTGGTATTCTAAAAACCTATTGTCATTTTTGCTGATTTTAATGTTCTTTGTAGTTTCAGGCACACATGATGATGACATTTTGTGGATTGCTATGGCAGGTATACATCAAATCTGGGCACTCATGCTGGAATGTGGAAAACTGCCAAAAGGGAGGTAAGCCAGAATGTTTGATCTGCCCTAGTCAAGGTTAATAGCTGATAAGTAGCATATTAAAACCTATTAAGCATCACTTCCTCCTATACATTTCTGTGTTTTCATTTCTGAGGAAGAAATCAAAGCTGGCCATTAATCAGCATGTGAATCATATCTGCTTCCATCACAGGAAGCATAGTTCTTAGTGTTGTTTTGCTTCTTATAATTTGAAAAGCAGGGTTGAAGAAAAGAGAGGACAAAACCTGCTTGTGTTTTTCCTGAAGTTGGTCTTCGGGGATAGAATTTGGATTATTCCTCAATTAAGGAAAAAGTAAAAAAGAAGAGTCCGTTTCAAGTTATATAATATGATTGTATGAAAAAACTGTATATAGGTTCAGATAATTAGGTAGGACCCATGGAAATACCTCCTTTTCCCCTTAGTGACTTAAAGAAAGGAACCTGCCTTCGGTTTGCTGGGAGTGGAAATGAGGAGAATCGAAACAATGCATATCCCCATAAAGCAGGTTTTGCCCAGCCTTCCGGTCTGTCTGTTGCTGCTGAAGAACCATGGAACTGTCTTTTTGTAGCAGACAGCGAGAGCAGTACTGTGCGAACAATATCTCTGAAAGATGGAGCTGTGAAGCACCTTGTGGGAGGAGAGAGAGATCCAATGGTAAAATGCTTTTTTTGCATCAGACATAATTAGACATTCTGATAGGGATATGGGATAGAACCATATTTTGCACACCATTGATGTATTTTATTTATTGACTAGATATATTTCCCAGTTAATATAGTAATTGTTCATATAAATCTTAGTCACTCAGAGGGCATCCACACTGGCAACCTGTTTAGCAGGAGATAGCAGATTCCAGCAACTTAGGTTTCCTACTGCCAAGGGAGAGAGAGAAAGTGGGAGAAAAATGGATGAAGGGAAGCAAGAAGGAAGGGAGAAAATGGAATGACTTTCACAGAGGGAGATAGGAGTAATGTAAAAAAAAAAATTCACTTCCCCTGGTCCTTTGCAGATGATCAATGGAAGCACTTAATTGATAGCTGATCAGGCTACAAGGGGTTGTTTGCTCTTTGGGAGAAACACAACAGATGGCACATTGCTCCTCCGTCTGACTTCAAGAAACCCTTTGTAGCCCAGTCCACCCCACATCCAAAATGGCCAGTCTAAACAGGCCCTCACTCTAAAGTGCTGGTTCAGTTTTCCTGATTATTAAAAAAAATCTTAGCTTCCTCTCTCGTGGGCCTATAGATGTTAACAAAATCACGTACCCATGATGTTTGTGCAGTTTCTTTCAAAGCTACTATGAAGAGTCAGAAAATGAGGATTTTTTTTCTCCACCCAGTTTAAAATTAGGAAAAGTGGCTGAATGTGTTAATGTACTAACTGATAAACTCATGGTCTATGGTGGTATAACAATATGCATATTCCTAATTTAGTAGTGTAATAGACTATGTGTTTTGACAGGATTGATTTATTTTCTGATATCAAAGTTCTGGTAAGAGAGGACAGTGATCACCAACCTATTACAGTCCACTTTCCAGGTAGAACTGATACCAGAGCATACACATCATATGATAAAATGTTCACATCAAATGTTGAAGTGAAGCAGAATAAAAAGCTTAATTGGGCCAAGGTGGATACTAAGGCCTTAGCCAACTTTTAAAATTCAGAACAGGCTCAGGAATTCCAGCTTTGGAATTTTGCAATTTCATCCAGGTCTCAAAATACAGATACAACTCTGACTCTTTATACTGAATTATGCCATGCCCTAAAAGAACTGTTTTTAATAGCTAACTTACATACTAAAAACCCTAAGCTACAAAGGTCATACTGGTTTGATTCAGAGTGTTTATATAAAAGAAAACATTTGAGAGCAGCTATGCATCAGACCCTAGGACATTCTTCCCCAATTAAACAAGCTGAAATGTTAATTATTAGACGTGAATATAAGCTAATTACTCCAAAAAAAAAAGTGTTTTACAATGCCAAAATATGGGCGGATTTGGAGTCTTCAGCAAAGGGAACAAATTCAGTTTTTGTCTGGAATATTGTATCTGGACTTCTGAAGAAATGCATATTTCAACAGGATGCCCCTATCCCTGCTCCAGTCTGGGAGGACTTCTATAAAAATTTATTTTCTGTATCTAAGCAGGAGTGTATCCATAAACCTTTCCAGCATACAGTATCCTTAAATGGGCTTCCCTTTTGGCCACCTGTTATGGCTATGGAGATTGAATCAGAATCAGCCAAATAAAGCATCTGGAATAGATTTCCTACCCCCTGAACTCTTTAAATCTCATAGTGGCTGGTGGGCACTTCTTTTAGCAGGGTTGTTTATTTACATAAACAATACAGGCTGTATTCCAGCCAGATGGGCAGTTGCTATTATTGTCCCTTTGCATAAGAAAAGAGACAAAGACAATCCAAATAACTATAGGCCGATAAGTCTTACTCGAATTGTGGCTAAAATGTATGCTAAAGATTTGCTGAGCAAAATAGAAGATTGGATTTTTGAGAGAAATCTGCTAGTGGAAGAACAAGCAGGCTTCAGGCCTGAGAGATCCACAATAGATAAGTGTTTTGTCTTATATCATCTTATAACTAAACAATTATCTAATGGCAAGAAATTGTGTACTGCTTTTGTTGACCTCAGTGCGGCCTTTGACTCCATAAATAGAGAGATACTATGGAAAAAACTGACCACCCTAGGTATTGAACTCAGGCTCCTAACTCTGATCAAGATTCTCTACTCAGATATGCATCTTAAAGTCCATATAGGTGCAAATGGTTCACTTAGCAAGAAAATACCTACCCATAAGTGTTAGGGTTGTATTCTGGCCCCTATGCTTTTCAATCTCTATGTTAACAATTTGCCAGGATATCTGTTTGACAGCAATTCTCACATGCTTAAAATACATGAAAAATATCTGAATATCCTTCTATATGCTGATGACATGGTGTTGATGGCACACTCACAAATAAGTCTCAGAAAACTGGTACAAAAACTTAACAACTATTGCCCTAACAATTTTCTAAACATCAATAAAGCCAAATCCAAAGTGTTGGTTCTTATTTGTGGCCTCTGTGAATGCACACAAATAGGTTAGACTGCACCTGCGCAGGACTTCTCGGAAACCTCTAGAGCTTAAAAACATGTGATTAGTAGAACATTTCCCTGTGGTGCACATGCTGCATCCGCCCGTAATACCTCAGTTCCTTCTTGCCGCCGCTGAGATCGGACTCTTTCGTGATGTCTAGAGCTGTTTTGAATTGTTACTTATTTCACAGTTTTTTGATTTTGGTCTGGCTTCCTGACTACCATTTGGGCTTCTGGAGTATTTTGTGGACTGGCTTTGTTTACAATTATGATTGTCGGATTTGGATTAACTACCTTTTTGTGATTTCTGGATTACTGACCTTTGGACTGATTACCATTTCTGATTTGGTTTACAGATTTTATCGTGATTTTCTGCTTCTAATCTATTTCGGCTTTTGATTTGGACTGGCAATCACTGACTTTTCCCATGAGCTCTTCTCCTTTTCCCCCTCCCCCCTTCTTCTCTTCCCCCCAATTTTTATGGTCTCGTCAAGTCCCTTTAAGTGCTGTACATCGTGTGCTAATAAGTTCCCCTTCATGGACGGCCACAACTGCTGCTTATTTTGTTTAGTGGAGAGGCATCAGATCCACTCTTGTCCTTAGTATAAGAAGTTAACCAAGCCTCCCCTTAAGCTGTGCTTACAGCGTCTCCATTTATACTTGTGGGAGAAGACTTTAACACCCTCGAGCCCAGCAGACTTGGAGGTTACCTTGACTCCTGCTCCTCCTACTCCTTGTTCCGAGCCTGCTGCTTCGTTGACTTCTTTGAAAGCGCCTAAACAGAAAAAGTCTTCAGCATCAATATCAAGCTCGATACTGAAATCACCCACGGTAAAGGATCCTAAAAAAAAAGAAAGAGGTGGTTAAGCAGAAGAAGCCTAAACAATCTGCTAAATCTACTCATCCGTGGGAGCTCCCTCCAGTTCGAGTTTCTCTTCCATCACCAATACTCGAGGAATCATCCAGAGAGTTACCAGACTCTTTCTGAAGCGGGTGATTCTGCACCTCCACCACAGGCTCAGGCTTCAATATCGATACAGAGCCTATCTCCCACTCATTCTGAGGCTGATGCAATACCCAGCCTGACCTCGGCCCATTTGAGTCCTATGTCAGTTCGGCAGGCGACACTAATTCAACTGTCGAACTCAGAGGTGTCGCCACAGCAGTCTCATCCTGGTAAACGGCTGGCTAAATGTCGACACATCTCTCCAGCACGACAGGATCCTCAGCATTGGGAGGTTATAGTTCTTCCTTATTTGTCTCAACATCGGGTGTTCTCGGATTATGAGGAGCCTTTGTATGTAGAGGTCAATCGAAGGGGTGATCGACATCGATATCATGGGGATGACCCCGACCTCGAGGCTGGGGCGCGCACTGTGGCACTCATGAGATCCTTGCACTTTGGCCCAGCACGCAGAAGTCATTGCACACCAACTATCTAGAGATGTTGGCGTTTATCAAGGCTTTCTGTGCTTTCTTTCCTCTCGTAGTTAGTTGCGGAGTACAGGTGGCCATGGACAACATGACCACTCTGTATTACATTAACAAACGGTGGCACACTCCTTGTCTCTTCTGTATTTAGCAATCCACCTTTGGGAATGGTGCTACGATCACCAGATTTTTTCCAGTCACCATCCATGTCTCTACAGAGGACAACAATGTGGCCAATTGTCTGAGTCATCTTACCACTCAGACTCACAAGTGGGTTCTTGACAACTCAGTATTCTCCCATATCTGCGATTGGTGAGGAACGCCAGCCATGGACATGTTTGCCACCCAGGCCAATTCGAAGTGCAGCAGGTATTGCTCTCAGGCAGGGAGAGGCACGGACTCTTTGGGCGATGGCTTCATGATGAGTTGGGATAATGTCCTCCTTTATCTTTTCCCTCCCACTCTGCTCATTCAACGAACAGTCGTCAGGATTCGTCAGTTACGAGCCAGTGCCATCTTGGTAGCTCCATGGTGGCCTCGTCAACTGTGGTTCACCACCCTCAGAACCATCGCCTCCGAGTTTTTGAGGCTACCATTCCAACCATTCCTCCTAACTCAGGACGGAAGCAATATCTGTCATCCTGACCTGCAGTCACTTCATCTGACGATGTGGAGGATTCTCCCAGCATAAAAGAAGTATTGGACAGAGCTAGAAAACCTTCTACAAAATTGCTATACTCACTCATAAATGGTCTGTTCTGACCAAATGTACTGATTCCAGAGGTCTTCTGGCTGTTCGGGTTTCGTTGGATACACTTCTCACTTTACTCCATTATCTGTTTGATCAAGGTCTGGCCCATGACTTTATATTTCTCCTGTTGTTTCTTATCAGCCTGTAGGTTCAGAAGCTTCCTGCTTATTTTCACACCCGACTTTAAAGAGGTTCCTGAGGGGTTTGAGTAACATTCGCCCACGTGTCCGACCTCCACTCCCTCAGTGGTCTCTCCATGTCGTTTTACGGGCTCTTGCTCTCCCACAGTTTGAGCCTGTGGCTTCTGCTCATCTTAAACTTCTCTCAATTAAGGCTTTGTTTCTCATAGCTATTACTTCTGCACGGAGAGCCAGCAAGTTGGCTGCCCTTCGGGCTGATGCCCCTTATATACAATTTCACCTGGACAAAGTTGTCTTATATCCTGATGTGTCTTTTCTCCCTAAAGTGATTTTGAGTTTCTATGTTAATCAACCTCTGATTCTCCCAACATTGTTTCCTAATCCTTCTTCTGATGTTGAACACATGCTCCATTTCTGGGATGTTTCACGTGCCTTGGCTTTTTACATTTCCAGAACTAAGGACTTCCATACTTCTTATAAACTATTTGTCTGCTTCCATGGCCCATGAAAAGGCGATCCGATCTCTCCACACACTGTTTCCAAGTGGATCGTTTCTGCTATCACCTTGGCCTATGAACTGGCTGGCAAGGTGCCACCAGAGGCGTTGAAGGCACACTCTATGACAGCTATGGCTACTTCGACTGCCTGGTCACGTGGCATTGAAGTCCCTGACATTTGTTAAGCAGCCATATGGTCTACACCATCGACCTTTGTGATGCATTACCATCTGGACGTCAGGGGCAAAAAGGAAGCAAGTTTTGGAAGGGCTGTGCTGACTTCAATGTTGGCGTGACAGCCCTCCTTCCTTTCTAGTCACCCATTTGTATGCATTCACAGAGGCCACGAAGAAGAAACAGAGGTTGCTTACCTGTGACCATAGTTCTTTGAGTGGTCCTTGTGAATCCATACATCCTGCCCATCCTTCCCGCTGTCCACGGTGTCTTGAGCTTGAGTACAATTAGAGCCTTGACAGCAGCAGACATGTCCACCACTTGGTGTCTTAAGCTTGATTACAATTAGAGCCTTGACAGCAGCAGACATTTTGGAACTGAGGTATTACAGGCAGGCGGAGCATGCGCACCATGCGGAAACGTCCTACTAATGACATGATTTTAAGCTCTAGAAGATTCCGAGGAGTCCTGTGCAGGTGCAGTCTAACCCATTTGTGTGGATTCACAGAGGACCACTTGAAGAACTACGGTTACAGGTAAGTAACCTCGCTTTTTCAGCAAGCGAAATAGGACACGTAATTGGCAAATAAATGGCAACCCCACTGAACACTGAACCTTTAATTACTTAGGAGTAGTTTTCAACTATACAGGGTCATGGGTAAATCACTATCATAAAGGCTGAATTGAGTACGAAACAGCTATACAAGTTATTTAATTACAATTATCCTGGTGCTTTACTCCCAATAATGAAAGTATTCATGGCCAAAATTATTCCAGTGCTGACCTACAGGGCAGAATTATGGTGTCTAAGTAAAGTTACCCCTTTGGAACAAGTTCAGACTCATTTTGTGAGAAGTATCTGAGGGACTGATAAAAATACTGTCACGTGTGCAGTTAGGGCAGAAACAGGTTCTCACTCTCTCTATAGTTACTCAGTGACTAAGGTTATCACCTACTGGATGAGAGTTCAGAGAATGGGTTCATATAGACTTCCCAAGCTCTGCTTAGTAGAACAGATGGGTTTGGCTTTGACTAATTCTTGGGTTTGTCAAATTACCAAACTAATTGATCCATATGGATTCTCCACTCAATATTTATTTTCAAAAGGCCCTCAGGAAAAAGAACAATTCAGACAGAGAGTCCGGGATATTAGTGCTCAAATGGATATAGAACTGCTTTCTAAGAACAAGTCCTTGTTCTTAGAAATTGTTTTTCAAGCGAAGAAATATTTAGAAATAAACCTGTCTCAATCTCTTAGAAAGGCTTTTACCAGACTCAGATTCAAACTGCTGGACTCCATGACCAAACATGGTCGCTTCCTTCAATTGCCTTACCATGAAAGAATGTGTATCTGTGGTGCCTCTGCTAGTGAAGATATTACACATATTTTATTTGATTTTGAGCTATATTCCACTGCTAGGCAAAACTATCCGTCGTGTTGGGGAAAACAGCCCACTGGAATGTGAACTCTAGACATTCATATTTTCTTCAACGTGCCAATATGAAAGTTGTCTGCAATACAGCAAAATTCATATCTAAGGCAATGGGCATAAGATCTCACTACATTGATCAAATAGGGGTCCCCTCTTGTTTTATGTTTTGCTATTGAAGTGTATTTTATCTCTTTTTAGCTGTTTACTTTGGATCTGTGTGATTTGTATGCTTTTTCATATGGTCGAAATGACTAATCAAATAAATAAATACTACAGTGCTGCCTCGCATAGCAATCGCTCCGTTTAGCAATGAAATCGCTTTGCGATGGACTTTTTGTGATCGCTTTGCGATGTTCCCTATGGGGGATTTTTGCTCCCCATTTTCGCATAGCTGATTGGCGGTTTCAAAATGGCCAGCGGGTAAACAAAATGGCCACCCACTGTTTTTTGGGACGGATTCCTTGTTTTAGAGGCATCGAAAATGGCAGCGCTATGGAGGATCTTCGCTCAACGGTGAGTTTTAAGCCCATAGGAACGCATTGAAGGGGTTTCAATGCGTTTCTATGGGCTTTTTAATATCGCATAGCGATGTTTTCGTTCCGCAGCGATTTTTGCGGAATGACTTAACATCGCTAAGCGAGGCACCACTGTATACTTATTCCTATCATTAGGCTTTCCATCACTTTTATTTTTAAGTAATTTTGATCATTTTTAATCAGGAAGGCATGCAGAAATAAGGGAGGGATGAAGAACCATCTTCATCTCTTGTGATTGGAAACAGGTTTACGATGCTAATTCTATTTGGGTGCTAGAAAGGAGTATAGGATAAACATCCTTGGAACTATCATGGCTACCTCCCTTCCCAAAAATCCTTGCAGTACTGCTTTACCTTTTTCATGCAGGTGAAAGAACTTTCACATGGCATTTAGGATTTATGGCTAAATTGGAACATTTCCTGATGCCCCAGCTTTCAAGCCCTGGAAGATATTCCTGATGCCCCAGTTTTCAAACACTGGTAGATACATGGTACATGGAACAGTATTCCCACAGTTTCCCCACATAAACAAACCTATATGTTTAATTATTGATATGAAGTGGATATGAAAAGTGTTTCCCTAGTTAGGGGGAAGAGGTAACTTCAACAATGTGCCATCAAGTCATTTCCAGTTTTGTAATACCAATATTCAGAAATGTTTTACCAGTCCCTCCTTGTGGTAGCATTCGGGGACTGTACGGCTTGTCCAAGGTTGCATAGATAGTATGGCAAATAACTCCATCGGCCACACGTCTTGAATGATTTTGGCTGGCCCCTATCCTAGAAGGCACAGTGGATTAGAATTCCCAGTCTATGGCTTCACAGTCAGGTGCTAAAACCCAGCTCTAAATGAGTATTGATTGATTTGGGATTACCAAATATTCATGTACGTATTGGCAACAGTTGTTCTATATGCAATGTGGATTCATGTTGATTGTTCAGTGATGGAACTGCTATATTTGATCCTATTTAATTGTGATTTTAGTAATTGAGCTAGAGGTGCAGCCACATTGTGCTGAATCACAATAATTTTAGTGGATATATAGTGCAATCCCATAATACCTGCTTAAAACACTTCCTATTCAGTGGGCCTTACTCCCTGGTAAGTGGATATATGGTTGCAGCTGAAATCATTGTACAATGCTTTAATTATTATTTTTTCTTTTGGGAAAAAAAGAATTTATTTGCTTTTGGTGATGTTGATGGATCTGGCATAAACGCAAAACTGCAGCATCCTTTAGGAGTAGCCTGGGACAAGAAACGAAACATCCTTTATGTTGCAGATTCCTATAACCATAAAGTGAGTTTCTATGTTGCATTATTTCAACCTATTTAGGCTTAGTGTTTTATTACTGCTACTACAATGTAAGAGTTTAAATGTTCAGTCATGTTTAATTATGTTTGAGGGGTTAAGAAATAAATAACCCCCTCTTTTGTACATTGTCACATTTGTTTGTTACTTTTATACATGGTTTGTGAAAGATAGCTTTCATTATGTATGTGATTACAGTAAAGTTACTAAGATTAAATTTCTACATGTGACACAGGGAGACTGACTACATGGTGCTACACAAGCTACCCCAGCCTAGATGCTCTGAGGTTTGATGTATCACATTTAAACATAGTACAGTGGTGCCTCGACTTACGACCATAATCCATTCCAGAAGATGGATGTAACTCAAAATGGATGTAAGTTGAAGCACAATTTCCCATACGAATGCATTGAAATGCAATCAATCCATTCTGTCCGAAGAAAAAAATTACAAAAAAATTCACTGCAAGACTCATTGGAAACGTGAGTAATCCCTTCTGGCGGAAGGGGGGGGGAGAAAAGCAATCAAGCATGCAAGACCCATTGGAAATGCACAGAAAACAAAGGGGGCATGTCAGAAATGCAAAGAAAACAAAGGAAAAAGCAAGGGAAGCATGCAGGACCCATCAGAAATTGAGGGGGGACCCAAAAAGCAACCAAACCCCAAGACCCATCGAAAATGGAGGGGGAAAGCCAAAAAACAAATAAACCCCCCAAGACCCATCGGAAATGGGGGGAGCCAAAAAACAAAGCCCCCAACACCCACCGGAAATGGGAAAAAAACCAAAAAGCAGCCAAACCCTCCAAGACCCATCCGAAATGGGGGGAAACCCCAAAAACAAAGCCCCCAAGACCTATCAGAAATGGGGAAAACACTCCAAAAAGCAACAAAACCCCACAAGACCCATCGGAAATAGGGAGAAAAAACCAAAAAACAAACCCCCCAAGACCCATCACAGCACAGAAACGTAACCCCTCCATATCAAAACCACACTGCAAAAATACTCAGAACAGTTTATAAAAAGCAGAAAACAGCACCTTACCTTACAAGGCAGCCCAAAGCATCCCTGCAAACACACACACATACTCTCTCAGAAGCAGAAGGAGGCAGTCCCAAGCCTCCTCCTATGCACATTCGCACACTCTCTAACTGCTGGGGTGAAAGAGCTACAAAATAGCAGCCTCGTCACCACCTACAGTTAGAAATTTGAATTTCCTGCCTTTTTCCCTGCCTTTTTATGTTCATAAGTGGAAGCTCTGGTCGCAAGTAGAAGCAAAGTTTTGCAGCCAGTGTTGCTTGTAACCCGAAATGGTTGTAAGTACGGACGTTTGTAAGTCGAGGTATCACTGTAGAAATGGGGACAAAGTGGTAAAATGACAATAGTTAGTGGATCATTTTCTTTTTTATGTGCCCTAAGCATGCATTAACCCTTCCCTAAGTCTTTCTGATTTATGTAATACCTACTTTAATGGCTATGTACCAGCCATTTCCATAAATGGGAATCAGTTTGACTATGGGACAGTTATAGAGAACTTATAGATAAAAGAAGCATTTGAAGGTCCAATTAGGGAATGGAGATATTAGTTACTATAGTAATTCTGGTAAAACCTGTTAAGTTGTTCTTTTTTGTTATCTTTGTATTCTAATATAATTGTATAAGTGGATGTAAAAGTACCCTCTTGCTCTCTGTAATTTTACCCTCCCCCTACCCATGTCCACTCCCCCAGCCCCCTATCCCTAATCCTATTGAAAATGAATTTTTAAAAATGGGACGATTATATATAGCTTGTAGAGTAATTGAAACTCTATATCACTGGTTCTTAACCTTGGGTTACTCAGGAGTTTTGGACTGCAACTCCCAGAAGCCTTCACCACCAACTGTGCTGACTGGGGTTTCTGGGAGTTGCAGTTCAAAAGCATCTAAGTAACAAAGGTTAAGAACCACTGCTCTATATGACTTGTTGATCAGAATCCTCTTGGTTACTTATGCTGATATAAGTGTGGTCACATAAATTGCACTGGCAAATTGCTACCAGTTAATGAGTCATAACTTGTATTGCTCATTGTGCAACAGTCATCTCACTGAGGCATGACATGGGATAATTTACACCATTGTACTTTAGAACAAATACACACAAATAGATTACAAAACATAAATAACCAGTAGAATTATCCATTAAGATACAGCAGGTATCTCTGTATTCATTGTGACACAAATAGACACCTATTTCTAAGTATAGAAGTGTTTTTATGAAACAACACGCCAATCCTTTCACTATTTCTTTCCCTGCAGAAATTTAGTCAGCCACTTGAAATTTATAACTCTATCTAAAATATTCAAGAAAATGACTTTCTTCTTTTCTTTAACAATCATTTATGTCACTGAAAGATGGACTGTTTAGACAGCTCTTCTCAGTGTTTTTCTCAATGTTTCCTTATTTATTTTCTGTCAGTAAAATGTATTTATTGTTCATTTGTAAGATATCATTTATTATGGGGAAAGGTGCTAGAAATACATGATAATCCTCTTTGTGAGAGACATTTTCTCAATCATATCAGTACCCAAATGCTTACCTTATTCATAGTACAGTGGGGTCTTGACTTAAGAACTTAATCCGTATTGGAAGGCGGTTCTCAAATCAAAAAGTCTGTAAGTCAAGTCTCCATTGACCTACAGTGCATTGAAACCAATTAATCCCGTAACAGGCCGTTTTTGTTCCATTTTGGGTTTTTTTCTGGTCTATAAGTCAAATCTCAGTCTGCAAGTCAAACCTAAATTTTGTGGCCAGAGGAGTCTGTAACTCAAAAAGTCTGTAGGTCAAGCCGTCTGTAAGTCAAGGGTCCACTGTAGTTAATGGCTATCATTAATTTATACAGTAGGGGGAAAGGGGTTTACATACCAAAGCACTGAGTATAGAGCTGTTTGTCACTGAACAATGGTAGCAATCTGAAAATATAATACAAACCACACTCCTATGGCTGTTTTCAACCAGAAAAGTCTTTAAAACAACGACACAAATGGGAAATGATTGGCTAAATCAGTTCCTGTTATCAAAAAGGCCTTTTCTAGTGGAAAACAAGCCAGAGAAATCCCCCAAATTACACAGAAATCACAGAAGCTTCTAGGGGATGCCATCTACCATTTGGATGTCTAAAATTGAGGAGGCAAGACTAGAGTGAATGGGGTGGGGGGAACGATTGCTGGTCCTTCAGAATTTGCCTATAGACCCACTGATTCCTTTGTTGTCATTATGTGCTGCCAAGTCACTTTGATCTTATAGCGATCCAATAAATGGGTTGATCTCCAAAATGTCTTGTTAGCAATCCTACTCACAGCTGTTGTAAACTCAGGGCTGTGGTTTAATTTATGGAGTCTATACATTGTATATTTGGTCTTTTCCTGGCGTCATAATTTTTTCCAAAAATGATTGTCTTGTCCAGTGAGCCTTACCTTCTCATTATATGCCCCAGATATAAGTTTCAGTTTCATCATTTTTGCTTCCAGAGAAAAATCTGATCTAAAACCTGCTTGTTTGTTTTTCTGTTAGTCCAAGGCATCCACAAAGCTTTCCTTCAATACAATATTTCAAATGAACCATTTTTTCCTGTCAGCTTTCTTCACTTGTCCCAACTTTCTCATCCATGCATAATAACCTGGAATACAATGGTGTGAATGATCTTGGCCTTTGTCTCCAGTGACACATCCTTACATCTATTTTTAGTTCCGTCATTGTTGTCCTTCCTGGGCCCTGTCTCCTCCTGATTTCATTACTTCAAACTCTTAATTCTGGTTGTTGATCCTGCCAGTGTAAATATATACAATATAAAGTGTAAATGTAAATAATATTAAGCATATGATTAGCTCTTGAGTGCTATCCTTTTATTTTAGTCATAATCTTATATTTCACCTTTCTTCCAGGGAAGGAGCACAGAGTAGTTTACAAATATTAATAAGGCAAATCAAATGACAGGAAAACTATATTGCTATAATCACCAGTTAATTACAATAATAATTCTGCCAGAGAACTGCAGAATGAAGAAATTAGGAGTCAAATAATTGTAAAAAGCAGCTTGCATTTCAAAATATTCAAGTTAATTGGGGGACACAAGTGTGCTTATCATTCCATGAAGCAGGGAGTTTCCCCCATTTAATGTTGGGGGATCTACACATACCAGGCCTTTTGTTGGATGCACTGAAAATTTAGATGTTCTGTCTCATTTTAGTGATTCTTAAACTATAAACTCAAACTCAACTATTCCTTCTGAACACTCTTAATGGTAAGATTGTATAATAAAAACAACTGCAATATTCAGTTTTATGATTCACAGAATTATCTTTCTTTTTGTCTCCTCCAGATTAAATTTGTAGACCCTAAAATGAAGAATTGTGCTACTTTGGCAGGTACAGGAGAAGCAAGTAATGTCATAGGCTCCAGCTTCACCACCTCAACTTTTAATGAACCAGGAGGTCTGTGTGTTGAAGAGGGAGGGCGTTTGCTCTATGTTGCAGATACAAACAATCATCAAATTAAAGTGCTAGACATAGAAACCAAAATTGTTTCTCAGGTAAGGTACCTTTATAAAACTTAGTATAACACTGTGAATAGCATTTTCTACTCAGGATAAATTATTGTAGTAGGGTCATATTTCATCAGATATCATTAGCTGTTACCTAAATAGCATGAAACAGGGTAATACATTCTCATAGTGTTTTGTAATGATCTGGCAAACAGGCCAGCTTTTGTGTTAAGGATATCCTGTTAGGCTTAAAATAAATGTTCCATCTGTTTTAAGAGCCTGGAAAGGACACTAGTACAGTTAGTGTAGGCCAAGATACAAAAATCCTAGCTTTCAGGATGTCATTAAAGGTGGATGCAGGAGGTGTGATTTAAGTCTTCTATGAGTCTAATGAGTGTCGTTGGACACCATGCCGGAATCCTGTTGCAGTGCAGGTAGATGATAGTATGTTCTATGATGGTTGGTTTACTGTTATAAGAGTTGAGTGATTATCCAATTTAAACAAATGTGGTTTACACTTGCACAAAGAGGTATGGAATATCTTCTTACTTAAGTTCTCAAAGAGTAGAACCTCTCAGGCAATGGACAGATCCATGAACACAGCAACAGGATCCATGTGTTCTGTGTGTCCTTCTTATCTTAAAATGAATCCTACCTTATGAGATCTTGTTAAAGCAGAAGTATTAACATACTATAAAGCACTTTGCATGTCACTTTAAAAAGTTTTATTAGATAAGAAGCTTTGCTCAACATGGTCTTTACTGATTTAACCAACTATTGCAGCTGAAGCACTTTTTCCAGACACTGTTATCTGTGTCATCATTACCTTTAAACCACAGGGAATCATCTGCTCTTTTTTTTAACCTTAGCTAGCTAGAGATTACACCTAGTCTAAGCCAAAGAATATGTACACTAGTCCATTCAGTGTGAACATCCACAGTTGGTAAGACTAGAATGAAATATGTTATGTTCAAGTGCAGGTGATGGGTTTTTTAAAAATTAATAGTTGCATAACATCAGAAACATTTTCATTATAACAAATAGTAGATCTGTCTCCTAAGCAGCTGCAGTTAACAACTATTGGAGCTGAGTATCCCTTTAGACTAAAGCATGCACTTCTTAAGAAAAAACTGCCAAGAGAAGTACGGTAATATTTATCTACCCTTTTGTTAAATGAGTGAATGACCGAATAAAATACTTAGCCTTACGGAATCTAAAATATGTTGTTCTGCATTTGTGTTTTTGTACCCATGTGTTATTCAGCTATTTTAGAACTTTTCCCCACAAAATATGATTACCTAATTATAGTGTTCACTAAATAAACAAAGAGCCTGATTTCTGTTAAACTCCCTTTGAATTTGGAGCTCCTATATTCACAAGACCTTTGCAATGCCTGTAGTGTTAGGAATCATAACTCTGCAGATGCATCTGTGCTGTGCATAGCAAGCTATTCTGATAATCCTGACGGGAGATTGTGTGTTTGGCTTGAATTCTTTGTCAACAGAGGAAGGTTTGAGAAAGGCAGGACTGGAAATCTTCGTTCTCATATACATCCTGTGTTTCTGTGAATAGAAAATACTTTTATGTTCTCAAGTATACTAACTTTGTAAAATGCAGTTTTGCTATCCAGTAGGAGGCTGACTATAGATTGTGTAAGCAAAAGGAATCTAACGTGATTAAAATTGCAATCTTACACATACCTGCCTGAAAGTAAATGCCACTGAACTCAGTGGATCTTCTTTCTGAACAGAAATCTGTCAGATTGTGCTCTTTTGGCTTCCTTCTGCGTTATTCCAAAAGACAGTGCAGCAAATAGTGTTCAGACTGAGAAGATGTGATTTACAGTATATATAGTACAGTGGTGCCCCGCTTGACGCTTACCCCAGATGACATCGAAATCGCTTAACGATGAGTTTTTCGCAATCGCTATTGCGATCGCAAAACGATGGTTCCAATGTTTTTTTCCGCTTGATGTTGATTAGGAGCCTGCTTCGTGAACCGTTTGTTCGCAATATGATGTTTTTTCCGGTTCCGCAAAATGGCTTCCCTCTGCAAAATGGCTTCCCTCCCTTCTCAAAATGTCTGCTTTCCAGACCCTTGCTTCGGAAGACAGCGTTTTTAAACAGCTGATTGGCGGTTCTCTATGGGCAATCTTTGCTGGATGATTAGGTATTGACCAGTTTTCAGTGCATTCCAATGGTTTTTTTTTTCGCTTGACGACAATTTCACTTAACAGCGATTTTCCTGGAATGGATTATCGTTGTCAAGCGGGGCACCACTGTAATAGTATCAAGGTGATCACAGCTACTTGCTTTCCCAAATATTATAATATGAACTTACGTTCTGAAATAACTAAATATTTCTTTCTGTGCTTTTGATAGCTACCTCTTCTAATTGAAGACACAATGGATGCTATCGATAGTGGTACAACAAAAATACCAAAACTGCCTAAATCATCTCCAAAGCTTCAGTTACCATCCCTTACTGTCAGTCCCGGTCAAGCAGTTCAGTTCACACTGAAACTTAGCCTCCCTTCAAATACCAAAATGACTGAAGAAGCACCTAGTTCGTGGTTTCTCATGTCAGAAGGTAAAGGGCTCAGCTCCTGTTTCCAGTGAATATTTGCTGACTTTTGTAAAGTTCTGTTACAAACAATGACTGCCACGATACATTTATTTTGCTAGATATAAATTGTGTTCAGAAATACATGAATTAGCATTATACTCATGTATATATTCTATATGAGTTCTCCTAATTACTTCAGAATGTTTGCATTTAAACCTAGCAATTACATAAATTTAAACTCTGATCTTAAAAGTGACCAATGGTTGGAGGCAGATTCTGATCAGACCTGAGTGATTAAATTTAATTATCATTGCTGCCATTTTGTCATCTGAATCTATATGGATGTAAATATTTCTTCTAATCATTCAGATAAATTGGAGACACGGGATGGGATCCAGTAGTTCTCTGCTATTAGCAGAAAGTCCCCCCCCTTACAAAAGAGCTGGTTAGGACTTAGAAGAAGGGAACTAAGGGGGGGGAATGTACCCAAAAATCTAGGTAGTTTTGCATTTGAGTATTAAATTTGGTGTGCTAGTTCTGTCAATCATCATATAATTTTTAGGAAAAAGATGTTGGTGGACACTTATGATGAAAGATGATGAGAATTTCAGTCTGGTGACATCTGGAAGGTTTCTCTTCCATGTTTATACACTTCCGCTTGTATCCCGCACATTCCCTTTATACACAGTCTCATAGTGTTACACTGAAAGATGTCTTCCATGAGCTCTTGTCCAAGAGATCATGGAACAGCACTAAATCATTTTCTCTTTCATCTCACAGATCTTTGAATCCAGGCCAGTATATCTCATTTACCAAAACACTGTTTGTGGTTTGGCATGCTAACATAATAAAATGCTAAAATGATGATGGTATGTCTTTTCTTTTCTAGGCAGTGAGTGGCTGTTTCATGAACAAAATACATTTGGAGAAATTGAGGACATTTCTAAACAGCCTGTAATCCCATTTCAGATACCAGTAAACAGTCTGTCAACTGAAGTTGTACTGTCAATTCAAGTGTGCCTCTATTACTGTAGCAAAGAAAATAGTGCCTGTATGATGAAAGGCGTTTCATTCAACCAGCCTTTCCACATAAGTAATGGCAAACCAGGTAGCACAATTGTAGTTGAGCTTTTACATGCGTTTTAACTAAACCAAACCAAAAGAAGATAATTTACGCTCTCAATTTTTACTGCCTAATATATATTTTTTCACTGAAGAAGAGATGTTTGTCATGTTATGAGTTCCTACATTTTTGTTGATTCTGGTCTTCTAGCAGAGCACAACAAATTTGGTATTGTATTTCAGTTTCGGGTTAATAATGGAAGTTTGTGGAAAGTATCTCAAGAATGTTTGATCAGATACAGTAAAATGATAGAGGCTCAATCATGAAATACTTTCAAAACATTGTTGTCCTTTATGCCTTTATAAGTATTGAGGTGGATTCTGTTCACTTTAAAAGTAGTGTGATAGCCTTGAACAAAGTTCACCAGTCACAACATATGTTCTCTGTTTGGGAGTGAACAAAAACTAATGCTGCAATTTTATACATACACGTCTTTTTCAGAAGTGTGCACTATAGGATTTTCTTACTCTCAGATAAGTGAGTATAGAATTGTTGCTTAAGTGTAATTTTCCTTTTGAAGAAATTATTGATGCAAGATTTTTTTTTGACCCAGGGATAAACATTATTTTCTCATCTTCACATGATGTATTTAAGAAATATACTATGTGTCTCCTATAATTATACCAAAATTTATTAAGCTTTTTATGCAAACACTATTCTATAAAATTAATATTTATGCGTTATATTTACGAGAGAACAGTTTTAATTACTTGTATTAATTGAGACGACTTATTGCTTAATAAAGTAGAAAACTACTAACAAGTGGCATTTTGTATTTTTTTTCCTAACTATGACTATATTCTGTATTTTTTTCTAACTGACATGTGCATTCACATATAATGGTGAAATTTCAGAATTAAGTAGATTTAGGCCAATGTTTATTATGTTTTGATATTAATATTTCTTGTTGAAATGTTTGGCAGTACTGTGATAAAACCAAAAGGTCATTAACAGCACTTTGCATCTCTGCCGGGTAATATTAGTCTGAAAAAAAAATATTTCCATTAGCTGTGTAATGTTTTACAAATGGCATTTGAGTTTGATAGTAGTGCTTAGATGAATATTTTGCCTTGAAGTTCTTAGGCATCATTATCATCAATTTGTTAATAATACATAAGTTCTTCCAAGTGCCATTAAACCTGTTCCAAGTAACTTACTAGTTGCTGGAATCCATGATGTATTTGATATAATGGTCACAGTAATTCTATTCTCTGTAGATCCAATTGCCAAGACTAGACCCTTTTTAGAGGAAAACTGAAATAATGTTAAAGTTGAAAAATGCATTTTTAAAAAATACAGTTTGATAAGATTTTTAGCTAATAAAATGTTTTTAAAATACAGTTTGATTAGTTTTTTGAGAGAAGGTTTATATTAAATGTGTAGATTAAATTTTAAGAAATAGACCACATACACATTTGCACATGATTTGTATCAAAGTGACTTACCTTTCTGTGTAAGCTAAGTGAATTTAAAGTACTGCTGGTGAATTGTCATATATTCTTGTTTGAAAGGAAGCCATATGGTGTGATACGACTTTTCTTTCCTCTTCAAGATCACTTGCTAGCATAGCTGAGAGTTAAAAGGTCACTTGAATACCAAAAATAAGATTTTTCTCTGCAGCACTGTCTGGAATTTGAAATTTTCAATAGCCTTCTGACCTATATCATTCAGCTCAGGTTTTGTAGCCTTTTAAAGTAAGTTCCTGCATGTGACAAATAATACACATGGAATTTTCTTCGCTGTTTTGAAGGTTTTTTTTTAATGTAGCAAGTGTTTTATCAGCTAAGAGAGATGAGTGTTGTGTCCCCATCGGTGCAACAGACTAGTGTCAAGTGAACCCTGTGTCTTTTTGAATAATGTAAGGATCCTTACTTTTTGTGCTGTTTTTCTTAATGCTAGCTTGGCTAATATGCAGGAATTGGTCTGCTTTCAGTGACTAAGTTTTTAAAATGCTGTTGTTCTACATAGAACAGTTCCACTGTTTTTTTTCAAATCAGGAAGTTAATGCACCTTCTGTATTGCCATTGGACATGATGAAAAAAAGTTTCCCTTTGTGGTCAGTAGAACTGGAGTATTGAAAAATAACAGTTTTTAAAATTCTGAATGCAGATGTTTCTGTTTGAGCTCTTTGTGAGATTGACCCAATATGTTCTGAACCCTTTTAAATGTTTACAACTTTTAAAATCTTATACATTGAGAAAAACTAATACAGCATAGTAGCCTTGAGTATAAAAATTTTAAATATTTTAATCTTACTTTTTGATGTTAGTTTTTAAAAAGTTATTAATCAATAACAGAGTATAAAATAACTTTTCTTTGGCTCTAGTGTTTCGCTACCATCAGTTAATCAGTAAAAGTATACATATTACTTTTATATAAACGGCAATAAATACGGAAGATAATTTGTAATAGCAGTTGTAACCCATAAAATGTCACACATTATTTCATCCTCTTAGTTCTTTATATTTAGTGTCTTGTAAGGTTGTTGGAAAGTTTGGAGGTTGTTGAACTGTGGTTTAGCATTTTGTTTAAACATTACCAATTAATAGCCACTTAGGTGTTCAAAAATGCAGTGGTCACTTCAAATCAATTTTTTTTATTGATATATCCTCTTTCCTTAGATGTTTGCTATTTGTCTACTTAATTTGCAAGCATAATGTATAATGATTGATTATTAAAGGAATAGTTTGAAGGAAGTGGCTTTCTTTTTGTTTACTTGTGTAATGTTAACATTTCTTAAAAGTAAGCACAAATCTCTTTCAAGGTATCTTGACTTTGCCATGTATTGACTTTACAATTAAATTGTAGTTTTGGTGCTATAGTGGAGAAATGCTTTAATCTGTCTGATTTTCCAGTAATCCAGAATAAACTGAATCAAAATGTACTCATTGGGATCCTCGAGTACAGTAGCTCTATGTTATGATTTTGTTACTTTTTAAAATAGCATATGTACTACTGGGAAAGCTCAAATTTAAAGTGATACTTTGGAAGCCAGCAAATAAAAAAATAGCATGGTTGCATCTCACAGTAATTAGCATGAACTGTGTTTTTGCTATAATTGATTTGTTTACCCCTAGTGCTCCTTTTGGTTTTTTTCCACTTGCTTCTCCTGATGCACAATAGAATATTCTCGTTTCCTCTTAACAGAATCACATACAAAATGACTAGAATTCGGCCATTACACCAACATAGGTACAGTGACATAACATGCATCAGTGAATCACTGCTAGTTATTGAGTCGGCCCTTGTTTTCCTTGTTACAGACCAAGTCATATGTCAAGTGATGACTCATTAACTAGTGGCAATTCATTGCTGTGATTTTATTGTACTTATGCCAACATCAATATCCAATAAGAGTCTGGCAATGGAAGTTTGAAATGCATTTTCTTCTGTGATAGGTTGAATTAAATGTTTTTGTCACCCTGCTTCACATTTACCTTTGGTGCTGAGAATTTTAGGATCCTTGGACAAATATGCCTTTTGCCAAAGTGATTTTGTTTTGTACACAGAGATGTTCTGCATTGTGTTGTCTGCAACAAATGTTGCAGCTAGTACTCCTGAGACCCTGATAGCCTAACCCACTTTCCTCTGTATCTACAGAGTTTGTCTTCCATGTTGTTAGTTCTCCTTGTAATTTAAATACACATAAATTTAAGTGATCATTTAAAAATGTTCTTCTCTTAAAGTCAGATATAGCATCAACAGTAGAGACGGGATGTTCGTATTTGTATACAAATATCCCAGACCAAGGTGGATAGTTCCGCCTTCCCAAACTGACCCACCCACTTATGGGTCACCATGCAGCAGGTGGGGTCACTATGCAGCGTCCTGCTCATCACACCAATCTTACACTTAGCCTGACTAGCGTTCCTCAGGCTCCCTGCACTGCTGGTTAAGGGGTGACATCTGCCATTGCCAAAAAGTCTAGAATGTACTTGGTGACTTTGCAGTTGTCCTGGATTTCCAGTTTTGCAGAATTATGCATTTAACTGCCATTGTAGGTCTTACAAATCATTTCTTTTATCCAGCTACTTAGTCTCAGCTATCGGGTCTACGGACCACCAGTGCACACATATCTAATTATTTATTTGGGACCATATTGATTTTTACCTTTTGACATTTCTGTATGTGTGTTGAGTATGTGTGTGGTAAATCTATGATTGCCTTGTGCCTCTAGCACCAGTCGTTTAGAATCATGCTTAAACTGTCAGAAATGGACTGGGCTCCCATATGCACTGTATATAATTTTTGTGTGTATGTTAATCTCAGCCTAATACCCAAACTGGATTATTGGATTACTTGAAAAGACCTCTAATAAAAAAAAGGTTTAGCAGTATTGTTAGTTCTATGTTCTGTTTGTCTTTTACAGTCTAGGCTGGGGAGTAAGGTTTTTTCAATAGCATTGCACAAGAATCTGCTAGTTGTACATAAGGTAGAGGCAGCCTGTGGTGGTCTGTTGGATCTATAATACTTAATATATCAAAGAACAATTTTTATTATGTGGGGTCACCATGACTTAACAGCCGTAGTGGGCCATGTGCTTTTGCCCAGCACTCCCTGGAACACCTCCTAAACACAGAGACTTCCAGACCTCAGACAAGCACTGGGATCAGTTGGCCTGCCCAGGGGCAATCAGCTGCAGAGGATAAAGGCCAGCATTCAAGCCAGTTGGACGGCGCTAGGCTATGTGAGCAGCTGGGAGCTATAGAGGAGGTGGAGTTAGTGGAAGAGGAAAATCTAGTGTGGATAAATCAGGGCAGAGGATTCAGGAAAGCAGGAATGATGATGATGCTGGGGAAGACCCAGTGCCTGCCTAACTGGCAGAGGACCTGGTTGACTATGCCCTCAGGAAGCACTCTTGGACTGAGGTCCTGGTGGAGCTGTGGGTCTCTAAGGGTATAGCAAGGGCCCACATTGTCCTGAGACATTGAAGACCTTGGTCAAGCACTCAGACCACAGTCAGCAAGTTCCTCCACTGCCGCCACCCCCACCGACGTTAATCCCCATTTAGAAGAGCCATTGGAGGTGCCAGTGCCAAAGATAATGTGTGTAGTGTCTGCAAGAGGCATTTGTCAGAACCTTGACAAGGGTCCAGGAAGGGTTATAAGCCTTCTCTGAAAGAGGCCTTGGACTTGATAATGTCGTGGCCATCTTTTGCCCTATTTGTCATTACATTTATTTACATTTTTCCTTGTATCAAATACAGTATTCAAAGTTCATTTATCATCCTATGTTTTTGGAATTTGTTCCTATAGTATTCATAAGTTTACTATCCTTTTTAAAACATTAGCGCATGTCCTACTGTATGTAATAGGAATGTATTAGACCCCTCTGGTGTATTCTGTTGGTTATCTGTAGAGAGAGGCGCAAGTAGCAATATTCTGATCTATGTCTTTCAGATGATTCTTTGTATAATCTATTTATCATTTTCAGCTTTAGTGAATATTTTCCCTTCCCCATAGAAATCTTGGAGGTTTACCTATGATTGTGAATTGATTGACATAACATTATTCAGATTTCACATTTATAGTTGTGTGTACTTTAATTTTCACTATAATTCTTTGAATAAAAGGAAGAGGTGCAATTAATAAATAGTATGATACAGCATCCTACCACATCTAGTAGAGATAGTTTGCTCCTGGCTCTACAGCCTTTGTTCACTTATAACATAACCCTAGGCATGTTTACCCAGCAGTACATTTAATTCATTTAATTGGGACTTAATCAGAAAATATGTATCAGGTTGCATTACTAAGAAAAATGCAGACATAAATATATTTATTTATGATGAGTAAGCTAGAAACCCACGATCTTGCTTTACATAGACACAATTTCACTGGATGGCCTTCATCAAACCATTCTCTCAGCCTGCTGCCTTCCACATGGGACTTGTCTTACTGAATTATCTTATTGTTGTAAGGATCTCTAAGATAAAGATACATTAAACTGAATATATATCCAATCTTAGCATTTGTAAAGCTTTGCATCAACAATTCCACTTAGGATCACTCATGTTTCAAGAGAGTATATTTAGAACCCTCTGTTCTTATCATAGTTCCTTAATCTGGCAAACTGATAAAGAGAAGCAAATGGGAAAAAATTAACTGCCATTTCTGTGTCTTGGAAATCTGCATCTCTATTTCTAGACAGTTCCCACAAATAAACAAGATGGTATATCCTGAAGTGGTGGGATTAAGTCATTAGTTTAGGAATTTCAGAAGCAGTTTAGGAATTTCAGAAGCAGTTCGGAATTCAGATGAATAAATATCTTTCCACGTTTAAACCCCCAAAGGATCTAGAGAAATTTGTCTCTGACAAATTGTAATTAGTTATTTAATTGGTTTAATCTTGTTTTGGAAAAGGTTGCAGTTCAGAAATGCAGGACTACTGGCAATATTCAAATTAAGATCACAGGCAGTGCATGGACTGACCAGTGCGTGCAACGTGCCCCCAAAATTTTGGGTGTTTGTGTTTTCGGCCACAAGCCACCTATGTTGTCACGTGTCATCAGGTCACTTTCAGATAATTGTAATCTTAAGAATGATTGCTCTCCAAAAATTCCTATAATTAACAGCCCCGCTCAGGTCTTGTTTCTAGTAAGAGAGTTCAGGCGTAAATTGATCTGGAAGCCACTTATTTGTTTTTCTAGTGGTCCATATTATTTATAAAGCTCTCCTCGAACCAACACGAGCACTCTGCAGTTAACATTTAAAAGTAGCTTGTTGCTTAGAGACCAGTTGACACACAAACAACACTGCAAAGCCTAATTGGCTACCACTGTGTCCATTTGGTGACAGGTTTATCATAATGAACTGCATATGAAGTTTAGACGCCACTTTTTAATTTTCAGTGATACAGAATTGCAACTGTGATGTTTCATAAAATGGTTATATTTTCGAACCCATAAAAGGGAGTGAGCGGTCAATCACAAGGTTCACTGGTGAAACAATTTTTCACTGCTATGTTGAACATCTCGGCTGTCTCCAGATCAGAATTAATATTTTAAGTTATGGCTAAGAGGTAAAAGTACATAGGGCAGAAAGGAAAAGCAGGTAAGAACTGATTTGGGAAGAAATTATCTCACTGGCTTTGTGTTCCAGAATATCAAGCAATGGATGTGTCAAATCAAAGAAACCTGTGATAAAATTGGGAACTTAAAGAGCATTTAGCATGACTCTGTTTTCACAACTCTATTGTAATGGAATAAATCTTCAAACACCGTTCTTACTGCACATGATGCTTTGTGAAGATACTTCTATTAGTGCTGTTCCACTGTAGACAGAATAACTTCTGCATCTCAAGAGTTTTCTCAGCATGATAGGTTACTTCCAAGGACAACTACAAGAAGATAATATTCACAAGAAACCCACATTGAGATGAAAAACCAGGTTTTTGCCTACATACTTTGGTTTATGAACAGATGGGTGTGTGATACAGTGTGTGTGTGTGTTTAGTCATGTCCGACTCTTCGTGACCCCATGGACCAGAGCACGCCAGGCCCTCCTGTCTTCTACTGCCTCCCGGAGTTGTGTCAGGTTCATGTTGGTTGCTTCACAGACACTGTCCAGCCATCTCATCCTTGGTCGTCCCCTTCTCCTCTTGCCATCACACCTTCCTAACATCAAGGTTTTTTCCAAGGACTCTTTTCTTCTCATGAGATGGCCAAAGTACTGGAGCCTCAGCTTCAGGATCTGTCCTTCCAGTGAGCACTCAGGGTTGATTTCCTTTAGAAGGATACAGTAAAGGGAACTTATTTATTAACCTGAGATGAGTGCATATGACAACAGTCCAGGATTTATTTTTAAAAGAGT